AATTAGCATAATAAGAAAATTAATTTTATTAATAATAATTAAAACTATAATGTTTATTTATACAAGTGAAAATAATAGAGACTTACAAATATATTTTGATGAAGGAAATACAAAAAAAACAATTTAATTAAGATCAATTTTTAAAAAATTATATTTATTTAGATTTTAAATTATTTTAAACTATAATTTATGTAATACTCCATCAATGTCAATCAAAACTTGTTTATTTATATAATGGGAAAAAGGGTCTGAAAAATACTCCAACTTTGGCCGAAATTGCTGTTACGATACCAAACTTTATGGAGGACCTTTTACCCCTGCACTATTTAATAGTGTATTTAAAAGGTATATATGTGCCCACGTGACACATTATTATTTATAATTATGCAATATTTATGATGTCATATATCTACCTTTAATATACACTATTGAATAGTGTAAGGGGGTAAAATGTCTTTTCCAAAGTTTGGTATCGTTACTGCAATTTCGGTCAAAATTCGAATATATTTCAGACACTTTTCCCTTATATAAACAATAGAGAATGCCCCCATCTTTTATACTACTTGACCTTCATTCTAAATAGTTGTTTTAATTTATTTGTCCAATTTATGAAATCAATTTTTTTAACATATTTTCATTTCTGCCCTTAGTATTAAATAATTACATAAATTAACAGTAGTCAAAATTTAAAATTTCAAAAGCATTATTAAGAGAAAACGCATAATTATCTCCCTGAAGTAAGGTTTGATTTTTAAGAAGACACTTTTACTTTGCGAGGGACTTATTACTCCTTAAATAATTTGAACTGATATTCTTATATCATTTTTTGTCCATATGATGTAAAAAGTGTATGTACTCTATTAAATAACATGAGCAATCTAAGAAAATGAATATAGTTTTTTTTTACAAGTATTTGATTAGAATATATATATATATATATATTTTTTTTTTTTTTTTTTTCTTTTCCTTCTTCTTCAAAAATTCATTGTCATTTCCATTGAAACTCCTCACTTCCATGTCACTAGTTTTATCACAATATACCCTTCTTCTTTTACTATTATTAGTTTAAGTCTCTTCAAGTCTAAAATTTTATATAATTTTTTTTTTTTTTACATTTCGAACAATCTGATAAACCCATTAAATTTCAAGATGATAAGGAGGTATCATCTAACTTCTTCTTTTTTCGAATTTCAGTCAAGCTTCTTTCAGTTTTTGGAATTTCACTAGTTCTTTTCATGAGTATTATTTTTAATTTTGAGTTTATATGAAAATGAGATAAATTAATTGATGATACCTCCAAATTTTTAATTTACTAAGAATAATAATTAATTTTGCTATCAATAACTCAACAAATTCTAGAAAATAGTATGATCTTTAAAAAAAAGAATCACGAGAGAAAAGTTGGTTAAAGAAGAAAAAAAAAGAAAGAAGGAAAAAATGGGGAGCTAAGTTTGAATGTGGAGTGTGGGAGTGGTTCCGATAAAGTAGAAGAAGAAAGTAAAAAAATGGAGAGAAGAAGAAAGTAGAAAATGGGGAAGGGAACTCAACTTAAACTTGAGGGTGGGATTGAAAATGTGTTAAGATGAAATCAAAACTAAAGTAAAAAAGAGAAAAAATAATTCAAAAAGTAAGAGAGAAAAAGAATAAAGAAAAAAAAAATATGTAAAGAATTTTTTTTAAAATAAAATAAAATTGTATTTTAAATTAAATTAACACGTGTCATATAATGATTGATGTGTAATATCATTTGCCTTTTTAAATTTGGGACTGATCGAAAAATAACGGGGATAATAGAACCCGCAAAGTTCAAGTGTCTGTTAATTTGATAAAATACACATCTAATTAATTTTTTCAAGGGATATCATATCAAGAATGATTCAGTAATTAGAACCTCATAAACTAAAAGAGGGAAGAAATAGACAATGCATTAAGGGGGGAGTGGGGTGTTAATTTTTAAAACAAAATGGGGGAGAGGTGAAAATGATAAACAAAAATAACTTTGGTGTGCATTCGATTTTGGCTTGATTTTGTACTATTCGGTTTGAGTTTTTTTGTTTTTTGTTTTTGAATTAAGTGTAACTTAACACAAACCAAAATAAATTTGATTTGATTTTTCTCTTTTTGGTTCAATTATGTCAATAATTAGATACTTAATCAAAATTATATATATATAATTTGGATTTTATATTTTTGAATCTGAAACCAAACCAGAAAATCAAACAAAGTGAATTATTAATCCAAAACCAAACTAAAAAAACCAATCCAAATTAGAATTCAGTTCGATTTGATTTGATTTTTCAGTTTAATCCAAATGAGCACACCCCTATCTGAACCGATGATTTTTTTTTTGTGCAACTTTCAAATATAGCAAACACAAAAATCATATTTGTATGTTATAACTATTGTTTGCATAATTGCGCTCCATAGCAAACATAAATATGTATATTTCGCTATACATATACAAAAGAAAGCAGTTGTATATAATCTGTTTCTGTTTCGGTATACATATAAAAAAGATCAATTGTATAATCTGTGTTTGTATAAAGCGAGAAAGAGAGAAAGACAAAACAGATCTGGGCAGGAGAATATTTGTATTGTATAATTGTAAGTGTATATGACGAAGATATATGTATTTGCATGTGCATATACAATTTTCTCTCGCTTTAAACAAACATAAACACAATTTATACATTTCTATTTGTATAAGCGAGAGAGGCAAGGGAGAGACTGGCGAGCGAGATCTGGGAGAGGGGGACGAAAATATATGTATATATACAATTTTCTCTCGCTTTATACAAACA